TTCAGCGTTATCAATGCCAATCAAAAGATCGACAAGTCCATCATTTGCCGCCTTAGGAAAATTGTACTGGGTCAGATACAGCCATTTATTCTGATGGTCGTTCCAGTTCAAAACTCTGTAATTGCCAATAACTTTCTGCGGACACGTTTTGCGCACCTGCCATCTGAACTTTCGACTTCAATTTTTATTCGCATGGACTGAAATGTTTCGACGGTGTCATTCAGCACATAAACTTGAACTTTTCCGAATGGCTCTTGCAGTCCCAATATCCCAGCAACCGCTTCGTTTTGGAAAGTTTTGTTCGATGTTCGATGCATCGTCTTGGATTACTTTTCTTCTATTAGACTTCATCCACATAAGGACAGTTCATAACAAATAAGACTAAGTGGGCGTTTCTGCATTACAGCTGGTCAGGGTCACAGCAGGCACCCCCTCCCGTGGAACATCTGGGCGGTTCCCATCGTCAGCATGAGGCAACATTGTCATTGGTCCGGTTTCTGACAAAACTTCACTTCCATGAAGAAGGCAGTAGTGATTTCGCGAACAACCATCTATTCCATACGTGCGGGCCCTCGGGCAATCTTTCCCCCCATGATCAGGCTAGGCAACGAAATCACAACTGTTTTTCTTTAGCGATCTTCCAGCGGTCATTCACTCCTGTGTCATAAAACTCCTTGCAAAACCACACCCCGTGATCGAAACTCTGGCAGAGAGAACATGGAAGCTTCGTACTATTTGGCTCTTTCCCTATTGCAGCAGTTTGAAAATTTCGCATCCTGCTCTGTTCCTGGTAACTCGGTACTCTCGGTACTCTCGGTGGTCTAACGTGCTCGACAGGTTTCGGTTCAATTCCCATTCGCCATTTCCGCTGCTTCTATTTGGAATCTGACTTCGTCTTTCAACCAGTCTCTGAAGCTATGACTGAATTTTGTCTGGCGCGTTCGTTCAACCAGCGACTGTAATTTTCCAGCTGGCGATCAGGCAACTTTTTCACCAGCAAGCTTTGAAGAGTTCCATCTTCTAACTCTCCGTCTCTTCTTTCGGACGGAGGATAAGACATCTAGATTTCGGCCTGTAACTTTACCACTGTAACAAACTTCTCTGATGCGTGAATGTCGTTGCTTCTTATTAACGGCGCCTGTTCTAGTTGATCCAAGTAGGCTCGCAGAACTCGGCGCGTACCTCCATACTTCGTTTTTAATATCTCTTTGGCCTCCTCGCATTCTTGGGCGGTGACTCCGAGACCACGGATGGCTTTCCAGGCGTTCCCTATGAGGCATTGGTGCAGCCTTGCCATCTTCAAATTTACTGGCTCCGTTGACTCGGCCACTAGACTTGTAAAGAGGACCCAAAAATCTTCAAACTTTCTTTTGTCACCATTGAATGTCGGAACTTTTAACGGCTTCAAATATCGGTTTTGGTCATTGTGGCTGTGGTGACTCTCGTTTAGCTTATCTTCTCGGGCCGATTGCTCGTAGCGATCCGTCGCGCTCTCATTTAATGACGTGTTCATATTCATGACTTTGCACGCGCGGACTTTGATCGCATTTTGTCCCGCTTCGATCAATCTTTGTAGGTCTTTTTGGATGGTTTCTGACTTTTTAAAAGCTTCTTCTTTCCCAGTGTCTTCTTCGACTTCGACATAGAAGGCGGACAGTTCCCCTAAAATTTCTTGTGCGTCTTCAAGGGCTACCCACAACTGCTCAATCATACTTTCTATGTCCGTTACTTCGGAATCCTTCACCCACAGTCTTTCTAACTCGTGTCTGAGTTTTGTTACTTTTGTCTTAGCGGAGCGTTTTCTTCTTTTAATCTGAATTAACAGAACGTCGTTTTGCTTCTGTTTGTCGACTCCATTCGCAATTTCGTCATTTTTCTCGGTAACATCACTGTCGTCGGATTCGGCAGCCATAGTGCACAACTCAAAACTCAAAAACTCAAATCGCAAACGAAACCTCAAACAAACACCAGGTCATACCTTTCTCCCATCGTGGTCGCCAGAAATGTTCGGAAGCGATGACGAAAATCTCCTTTAAAAACAGGCACGTTTAATCGGTAAAAAGACGGTAAAACGGTAACGGCTTAAAATACTTACTCAAAAACAAAAGCCTCCAAAATGCGACTAAAACTGTAAAAAAAAAACCACGCGAGAAATCGTACGCGTAACTTGCTTACGAACTGGTCAGATTTAAATGTCTCAGCGCGCGCGCGCTAATCGCACGACTCGCCAGTCCGGTACTTTCTTCTTAACAGAAGGAATTCAATTTCAAAATAAAAATTTGAATTTACTTACAATTACTTTCCTCGCCGTTTACTTGATGGACAGAGGTAAATCTTGTTACATAAATTAATCGTCGATGAGAGTGAATAATTCTTTCCGTTAGATTATTGACTGCTTTTGAAGAAAACATTGTCGTGATAGTTCTTGCCAAACTAGTTTTGTTGTTTTTCAAATGTGTACATGCGCTTTTTTTTTCTTACGTGCTCTCTAATTGACAGGAGTCAGATTGTGATAGATGCTTGTAAAAGTAATCTTTCAAAGTTTGTTTGGAAGCCTTTCAAATGAACTTTATCATTACGCAAATGGAAATGTTTCGGTGAAGCATCTTCCTTTAATTTGCACAGACTGTCTCAAGTGGCATTGACTATTCACCGTGTACAAGAGAATATCAATAGTTTATAATCTCTTTCCGTGTATGATCAACAACACACTTACTAAATGGATGGAATGTAAATGAACAAGACAAACTCAGTGACGAAAAGCAAAATGAAATGCTTGGCGCAATCTAGTTAAGTTTTGTCGTTTGCTAAAATTTCGATGAAATCTATTGAAAAGATCTGAAACTATTTCATGAAATACCTAATCAAAATGAGCACAGGTGACTGATCAGCTTGTGTTTGAGCGAGAAATTTTGCTTCGGACGACATATCAAATTGTCTCTATCATTAGGGAAAGACATATTATATCGAATACTGATTCAAACGCACAATAAACATCTATTTGTATCGAGTCATGAGTAACAAACCTCTAGTCGCGGATTCGTCTGAGAGAGTCCCAGCGAAGCAACAGCAAACGTCACCAAGCAGAAAGTTGATACACAGGGTACCCAAACTCACATTGGAGCGTGAATCACAGCTGCATATCAAAATTGTGAGGGTTCATGGGAACTTTCGGCATAGAGGAAATAAATACCACAACACCAATGGATGTTTTTTTATTCTGTGCTATATGACCTAAAGTAGTTTTAAAATTCAGAATCATTTTTAAAGGAATTATCGTTTGTTATTAATCTTTACTGAAGCTTCTATTTCATCAGCTTTTGCCGCGGGCGACAAAATAGTGACGAATCAGGGAGTTTATCCGCGTAGCTTCTATGTGCCAGTTAGTGGCGACATCTCCGGCTTAAATTAAATAATTTCTTTTCGTCAGCAGAGCACTACTAAGTAAATAAGCGGTGATATACGGCTTAATTACTCAAGATTGCGCGGTTTGCCGAAACATTTCAGCGCCAGCGCTCCGAGCACTTTCTGAGGGCTTATTGTCGTGTGTGTCAAGATTAAGATAGCGCTCGCTGACCACAGCTACAGGTCGTTCGATCAGCGATCTTGCCACAACATTTCCATTTTTTTTCGCAAATGACATGGCTTTTTCAGCGATTTCTTCGCATCACGGTTTCACTCGCTTGCTTTTTATAAATAAAAGAAGGAAATTATTCTGGCCAGTTTTATTCAAGTTGGTTTTAGAATAAATTTGAATGTGTATATTCTTGGATTTCCCACAAAACTTAACACGGTTTAGAATCCGTGAGAAGAAGTATTCCGCCAACATGATCAATCTGCTGGTAATTTCTTTTGTACAATAGATGCAAGAGCTACATGTACATGTACATGTATCCCGAGGGGCTATGGCGTAACCAAAATCACAATTTTTCAAACTTCTGTTCTTTTAAAACAACTGCACGTGATATCTCAAGCCTGAGGTCGAATCACAATTCAATGAATTCAGTGAAGCGGCAAGAATAACGTTTTACGCGTGTTACTTGCACAATTTTTAAAAGAAACTTTTATGTCCCTACAGGTGTGTTTAGTGCAGCGCAGGACCTGAAGATGGAGTGGGTTGTCGTCTCTAATGAAATGAGTTTACTTTCCCTTGTCAACTTTGGCTAATTTTCATTACTGCACAGGTCCTGGGTATGAGTAACAGCCGAAACTCTTACGGCGTGACAAAACGAAAGTGTTCATCCAGCAGAGTAGCGAGCGATTTGTTCGTGATTTTTCCTCTGAGATTACAGGTTAGTTTCATACCTTTTTTATATAAAGAGCGTTTTGATCGACATAATTTGTCAGCCACTTTTTCTTCAGATAGTGATGTCAAACTAGATTTTGCAATTGTTACGAGTCTTACAAAAAGTTGTATTGTCGAATGCCCAGTGAATAATGGTCATGAGTGACCCATTATAAATAACCGGAGAAAAACTTCTCAGCATTTACTGTAGGCATCAAAAGAGCAAGTTTTTAAATGCCTGATCGATCTCAGGTCTGAAACAGATAACCATGCATAATTTCATCCTTATACTTATACGTTCATTACGCTTCGTACTGGAGACCTCCGTAACTCAATATTTAATTGACTTCTTTTCAAATTTCCAGCGGTGATTTCTAGCTCAGTTGCATTCAGTACACTTCCGATCAGCTCTGTTACCGGCGTTATAACGCACCCGGGAAAACACAGCGATAAAGCACAGAGTGTACTTGTGCCCTAAAGAATATTGTTCATCGGTAGAATTGAGAATTTAATTTTTTTGGGACGATAGGGAAAGAAATGCAAGTTACGGCAAATTATTTTCTCTTTCCCCAGAAAACAAAATTTACATCTTTGCTTTCAGTTTCCAACTGCAACTGGATTATCTTTCACATGAACTGTGACACGTTTTCTCTAGTGTGAGGATTACTTATTAAGAATAATGTTGTGAATAAATATATTTAGACAGGACTCGCTCATGGCCAGTGCTGCACCAACTGCTTTATCCACAAAGGAAACAACAAACTATGCCAGGTTGTGCCGTCTGCTGGTTGATATTGGAACCCAGGCTCTTCGAGACACGTTAGATACCATCCATTCTCCAGCAAATCTACCCTCAGTTTTGGCGGCAAACAGACCCACCTTACAATCTCTTAGAAAGAAGAAGGTTATCAATCACATACAATGGGGGAAACTTTACCCTGCCATCCTTACCTGGGTGTCTTCTCGTGACTTTGACACAACTTTGCTGATGGTTCTGTTACGGAACCTATGCGGCTTAACTGCTCCGCTGACCGGCTGGGACGCATTGCCTGTCGTAACAGACCTTAGCAAGGAAGCAGACATTGCCCGAGTTAAGTATTTTAGGAACACTGTGTACGCTGAGAAAGCTTCTGTTGATGACGTGAAGTTCAATGACTACTGGCGTGACATCAGGGACACTCTGGTCAGACTGGGAGGTGTTACTTATGAAGCTGCCATTGACAATCTTAGAAACGAGTGCATGGACCCTGAAGTTGAAGATCACTTCATGGAATTACTGAGTCAATGGAAAAAGGACGAGAACAACATTAAAGATCAGCTGGACGTAATTAAGAAAAATCTTGAAGTCCTGACGTCAAAAGATGAAGGTAAGATACATAAGTAATTTGTAAATTATCATGGATGAAAAGGTTGAAAGCCTATCATTTTTTTAATATGTTCGGTAAGAGAGGAGTTTTTCATTGCTACAAAAAGGAGTCGGGCCCGCCCTTTGACCTTCCCGACTAATACTTTTGACGGACTAGCACTCAGTTGTAGGTGAAATGACATAACAGCCCCACCCTTACCCCATACTTTTTGGATATGAATGACAAATGTGATGCTTTTCTGTAATGATAAAAATGAGGATGCAACATTAATATTTACAACCATTGGGGATTTAAGTGAAATAGTTCTTTCACTGAAGGACACAAAAGAAGAAATGCTCAGTTTAGGAGTCGACCATCAGATAAATATTTCAGATTTTTTTCCTTTGAGTGATAGGAGACTTTTAGCTGGGCCGTGAAAGAACAGTTTCACGTGGAGAAAATGATAATAACTAAAATAAAATTTAAATGTTGGGGATTTTGTATAGGTTTTTATCGTAAGACGGAAGGGGGTGGTGCCCACGGTCTGTATCACACCCAGGGGCTTGTTCCATTGGTCATAAAGCGCTACAGCTTATGAATGTTTACCGGAGTGTTCATAGTTTCCAGCCATGCTCTCTTCCTGATGGTTAATAAATTTTTCGTGCCAGATCAAGCTCCTTTTGGAAATCGAGTCCACAGAGAAAACCATGGGAGTTCTACTCTGGGGATATTGACTGGAAATGCCGATCTGCATAGTGGCCAGGTACGTGCATATCCGTCGCTGAAGCGTCTTATCAGCCATATGTTAGGTTTTATATCATTTATCACTGAGCTGGAAAACGAAATAAACAATTCCAGAATCATTAATTTTAGTTAATGCTAAAACAGTGGATAGCGTTGAAGGCGCGCCCTAATTGGCTACTCAAAGTCCGAATGTAACGTACTCTGATATTCACCGCCTAGCAACTCGCGCGGGATTTGCCCCCAAAATATTTTAATCTTTACAAAAATAAAGTTAAAACCACCTTTTTGTATTAAATCATCTTACTGTTTTACTAGTACATACTGAAACAACTTTTCAGTTGATTTCAGTGTCGTTGGCTACCCATGGATATTTATACCTCATATCTGCGCAGGTCGGTAAAAGTCCACCAGCCACCTTCACTTTGGTGAATAGCTGTTGACTAGAATTTGTGAATGATCGTGAAATTTAAATTACAAACAGCTTCAATGATCTCAAGGCAAACGATATCGAAGGGTTCAAACGTTCTCTTTCTCCAAATCAGTTGGATATCTTATTTAATATGAATAACGCTTTAAAAGAAACCAAAATTATAAATGAAATAAATAAATAAATAAACTTTATTCAAGTGTCGTGTAACTTTAGCATGGTATTGCTAATTGAGGACATCGTAACATAAATAAAAAAAAATAAAAGATATACACTCAAACGTGTGGGAATTAAAAAACTATTATAAACATGCTACTAAGTAATACTAAGTAATACTAAGTAATAGAAATATAGAGTTGTGTGTATATGAACAATGTTAAGAATTGTAGGATTAAAGTTTAAGAATGACACAGAAAACCGCCAATTGGATATTTCTCGAGCAAAAAACTTTCTGGGTCCATTTATACAAGTAAGTATGCTTCCCTGATAGAAAGTTTTCCATAGTTTAGACATGTATTATATCTCGGTATAACAAAGTCTGATGTACGTAAATTGTAATTAGTTTCTATTATTTGGAATAATTCAGAGATGTACTTTGGAGATAGTCCATTTTTGACGTTGAACATTTACACCGTTAGGTCTTGCAATCTTCTATTACGCAATGTTGGTAATCCTGCTTTCTTTGATACATTTTCGTATGTTGATACTCTTTCCTTGAAAACTCCGCTCTCCGTCCCTTTTCCTGTATCCTCTCCAGTTTCCGCTGAACAGATGCTCTAAAGAATAGTTTAGCTTCGGGAGAATTACCGCTTTAAACAGATGTAACTTCGTCTTTTCGGGAACTAGGTGCTTCATTCTCGAGAGGACAACAATTTTGCAATTTGCTTTCTGACAGACTTGTTAAATGTGTGCACCAAAGCTAAGTTTATTATCTATAAGGACTCCTACTGATAGTGTTAAGGAACTCCAATTCAATTTCTTCATTGTTAATGAAAATCTGCGCCTCTTGTGTATTCCTTGCTTTTGAGGCTAGACACAGTGTCTGGAATTTGTCTTTGTTTGCCGGCAGGAAATTATTTTTATACCAGTCGCATACAATCTGAGCTTCGTTGTTTAACAGAGTAGCAATGTTTCAACCAGCTGATGAGAGGCACATATTTGAAGATCGTCTGCGTACGTAGAAAAATCACAGTTGTTAATACTATAACTTAAGTCATTCTGAAACACGGTCCATAGCAATGGTTCGAGACATGATCCTTAAGGGCAGCCTTCTCTTATATCGTGCCAAGAGCTGTTAACTCTAGCAAACTTAACCCTTCCTTGCCGATCTTGGAAATACGATCTTAAGAGAAGCAATGACTCGTCAGAGAAATTACAGGCTTGTAGTTTCTTGATCATAAGCGACGGAAGGAGAGAGTCAAATGCTTTGCTAGTGTCAGTAGAGGTGACCCCCACAAACTTTCCTTTGTCAATGGCTAGTCTCCAATCTTCTACGAATTTTATTAGGGCTGTCTGACAGTTTTGACCCTTTCTGTAGGTTGACATGTTTTGGGAAAGATGCGAATCCACTTTAGTTACTACTTGCCTGCTTAGCAACTGTTCAAAGATTTTGTTTACAACATTTAACACTGTCACGGGCCTATAGTTCTTCTCTATTTTTTCATCTTTCTTGAAAACAGGTACCCAATCCCTTCTCTTCCATCTCTTGGGACAATACCCAGATGTTATTGATAGATTAAAGATTTTGTTAGTGAGGGTGCAAGTTCCTTTGCGGCTAGCTTTAAGATTCTTGGCGGTATTAAGTCGGAACCAGTGGACTTTGAAGGATTAAGACCATCTAAGGCTTTAGCAGTTTCGCCTTAAGAGATCTCTGTAAATGTGAACGTATCAGTAGAAGGCCAGTTGTTTTCAATGTTTGTGACACTTGGATGGCTGTAAAATCGTCCTCTGTTGAAGATAAGCTACATTTACCACCAATATCGTTAGCAAAGGTAGAAAAATAACTAGCAAATCCTTTCGCAACAACGTTTTGGTCTTTAGCTACAGTTCCATTCACATTCAATAACATACAATCATTAGCGGAGGATCAATTTCCGTTTGCCAGAAGAGGTTTGAAAGTTTTGAAGAATTCCCGTGGTTTAGAGTTCAATTCCTCAGATTTTTACTATTGGGATTTTTTTAATTAATTTTTTTAAAATTAAATTTACTTCTTTCATCCTAAGCTCACATTTAAAGGACGAGTAATTTACTACAACTCCAACGCAAGGTTTCACTCTTTAAGAGAATCTTGGGTTTACGGCGCCAGAGCCTGTGACATAGAGAGTGGTATCAGCTGTGAGGCACGTGGTTATCATGTCAGGTACGATGCTGTGCAGAATGCTGTGGAGGAACTCAAGGGAATACTCAAGAGCAAAGGGCTCCTTTACGAGTCGTGATTTGGCATGCATGTTTCTCTGCAAAGTGTAGATCAATTCGAAGCTTCAACATCCCCCGAGCAACCCACCGGCATTTGACCGTCGCCCGTGCCCAGGGTTGGGCAATTTGAACCTTGCTTGGCTGGGGCGGGGATTTTCAACCAGAAGTGTTAAGTCTTTCCAGCAAAACAAACCAGTCTTTAAAAGTTCAGATACCGTGGGTTTGCCCGAGGGAGGACGTTGAAGCTTCGATTTGATCGACGCATAAGGAAACTCAAAACGCATGAACTACTTGGGGCCAAACTAGGCAAAAACTCGTAAGAAGCTTAAAGGAAAGACTTAATATAGACTTAGTACTATTTACATCTTATTAAATAAGGCTTAGCATTAATAGTTGCAAGGTTTTCAGTACATTTACAAAAATTTGTTACATTTTACTAAGGTAAGAAAAAAATTATTCAACGAATTCGCAGAACAGGTTGAAAAAGCTGCAAAGATGACATCCATCTCGCCCTACCCGTTCACTATGATTAACTCGACGATCTTTCATGCTTCAGTACTTGACTTTCCAATCCTGTCTTTCCTTAATGTTGCCGCAATGACTTATTTCCTACTTTTTAGCCATTTCTTTCTCAATCGTTTGATTGTGTTGTTCTGTTGTTTCCTCCGAGTTTGCTTTTTTCTGTCCAATGTGTTTTATTTTGTTTGCTTGTTTTTTTTTTTTTTTTTGTAACAGATTTGATTTTTACGGTTTTTAGATTTGATTTGATTTTTTGTGTGTAATTTGGTCTCTTTGTTGTCTCATATATTTGTTTTAAATTTTACCATTGTTTTTTTATTGGATTTTCATAATTCTTTTGTTTCTTTGCCGTGTTAATTTTTTCTGTTGTTTCTTCAGCCATTATTTTTTTTAATCTTTCAATGTATTTTGCTTTTAATTTACTTGTGCCCTGAGCACAAGGCTTTTTTCTTTTTGCTTTCTTGTTCTTTGGTTTTTTTTGTTGTTGTTGTTTGTTTGTTTCTGAGCTTTTTTTATTTAGAATTTTGGTCATTTCTTTGTTTATTTTGCTTTAGGATTATTTCAATTTTTTGTGGGTTACCTGTTTCAAATTTGCAACTCAAGGTAAGTGCAATGGGTTGTTAATTTGAAGCACGGTGTCACAATATGACAGCGTACAGGCTTCTGTTCGCTTTAAGTCCTCATTTTAGCTCGTAGGAGGTCAACGAACAATACTTCATAGGAGAAAAAGTCGCTGCTGGAATTTTCAGTATGTCGGCGGTTAGAGCCCGGATCAAATGAGGTCACGTCACTGAAGCAACCAAATATTTTTTCAAATTGATGATCAAATTATGGAAAAGCGAGAAACGTTCTGGATGTCATCTTTGCAGCTTGGCTAATAAACGTAAAAGCTTATGTACAGAAATAGTGCTTTGTTAAAAGAATTGATATTAT